CACGCTGTGTGTGTGCTGATGACAGATGTCCAATATGCACAGAATCTACATTAGTCAGCCTGAAACTCATGTTCCAAGCTAGCTAATGGCACTCTGCTGCTGTAATTGGAGTTACAACACTGTCAGGAAAAAGAGCTATATCTGTGCAATGTTTCATAGTTAAACGCTGTACTTACAGACTCAAAGAACCAAGACCCTTCAAATCACTGAAGTGATCAAGGTGCTTGGAATAATCCTTTAATTTTGACATGAGGATTTTACAATTCAAGTTTTAGTAAATAACCTTTAAAGAACATAACAGCTTTTAAGAACAAGTGAAAGCAAATAATTGTGTAACATTATGTAATTGTGTGAACTATATAGTTAAGCACTTGCCCACACTGTCACACTGTTTACTTGTAAATCATAAGATTTTCTGTTCCCACACTTTCAGATATCTAGGTTATATGTAACCAAATGCTAATAAATACTGTTTCTTTTCATCTATCAGTATACAAAAATAAACATTATAAGGAACAATTTTTACCTGTGCTATTTTCCTCCTATAGACTTCACAATACTACTGTCAGGATTCCTAGAAGACCCAACACGCAAGATGTAATAGAAAAACATATACCGGGCCTTAGAATAGCCGGACTTTACGTTAGACAGATAAAAAATGGTCGGGGATAAGCCAAGGTCGGGGGAGCTAGAAACGAGATATACATACTAGCCGAGTCAAGGGAACCAAAAATCACAGTAGCGAGGTACAAAAGCTGAGTCAGGAATACAGAAAGGACCATGGTCAGATAGCCGAGGTCAATACACAAGAATACAGAAAATACAAAGCACTATTGAGAACTGTAGTTAGAACCACAACAGGGCAATGTGCTATGGGTGAACCATCCTTTTATAGTCTGGTTCTTTAAATTTGAAGCCACACCCCCAAAATGTTAGCATTTTGGTGGGCCATGATGTCATTTACGCCATAACATTGGCGCGTGCGTGCCGCGTCATAAAATGAGGCGGAGCCACAGTGGCGGCGTTGGAATCGCTGAACGGAAGCCTGGACTGTGGAGAAGTTCCCTCTCCTTCTGCAAGCAGTCCTCAACTTGGGTAAGCATGACAACTACTGTGATAGAATTTAGCTTGATTCCAAGGCTCAAGCTTAGCGGTGTCATATAATGAAATCCTATATTAAAATTGGCTAACTTGGACTCTGGAAATGCTTGATGCTTAACACGACACTTAAGACCATATATGTCTAGTTCCGGGAGCAGAGAGCCCCCACCTGAGATTTCTCTTCTCTAATCTTTTTGTTCTTTCTTACCTTGGAACTTATTTGTTATGTGTACATGACGTTCATCCCTATGTCTTATCTGTACTCCATTCCTATTACTGTTCTATGAGTGTTTGCACGTAAGCACTTACTTTTTAATGTATAAAACCCAGCTGATGAATAAAACGTCAGAGGCTTATTTTGAATACCAACAGGTGTCTGGTGTCTAATTCTCGCTTCTCCACGTGCACTTGTAATAATAATTTGGGCTTCCACTGAATATAACAAAGATCATTATTTGGATCCACAACACTACATACTTCCTATAGACTTCACATTCAAATTAGGTAAATGTTTCATTTCATATTCATATGGTAGATAAGTAAAATATAGTAGATGCTGCATTTCGTGTATTGTTCTCTAAAATCTTTAAAACATTAACAGGTAACGCTAGCTATAGTTACAGGCACACAGCTGTGCTTTGTCTTCTCTTTGAAATGAATCATGCATTAGCTTCTCAAAGATGTCTTCATTTATTAGAAATTGACATGATTGGACCTCATTTTTAGATTGTCTGTAATACTTTTACTGATTTCTATATAAAAAAACAAAAAATACACAAATAAAAAAATGCACCAATACAAATGGAAACATGTATGAAACAATATTGGAACTTGTTTGACACAGTCCTGTTTATGGGGCAAATAAATGATTCTGTGCACATTGTAAGCAGGTGTCCTGCATCCACAAGTAGAGCATCTTGGGAAGATGGTGGCAATGATCAACCAGGCATACACACACACAACCACCTGAAACACACACATAGTCCTCAAGCACAACAATATCAACCTCACAAAACACACATAGCCTCCCCATATGCACACCCATCACAAACCCAGTCACACATACAACATACACACAAACCCTTCCCACACAGCCTCTCATACACACAACACTACAAACAATCAATACACAGACACAAAATATAAACGTATGTTGGCACTCAGACCTGTAAATGGGTGCAGATACCCACCTATAAACAACCTCAAAATATATATACGGATTCAAATTAGGGATACCGCACTCCAAATTAATGCTCAAAAACTCAAGAGGGTTACTCAGAATATATACTATAAAGTAAATTTATTTTTGTAAATTTTTACTGTAATATTTATATAGTATCGACCTTTGATGTGGTCAGGATTCAGGATATATGAACTGTTTTTTTTTTAAATTAATGTACAATATGGATTATGGCTTTGATTGTGTACAGAACATGAACTCAGGTTTTTCTATTGCATTTTTGTATATAATATGAATTCAGGTTTTTCTATTGCATAAGTGTACGAAGTGATGCACTAATGAAGTGCCTTTATTCTTGTATATAATATGAATACACACACACCAGAAGCAGTCTGACAGCCTCCATACACACAGCCTTCCATAGGGATTAGGGGGGAGAATGGAATATGAATACTAGGATGAAAATGACAGAGGGACAAAGTAGAAAGAAGATAATTACTGGGGAAAGGACAAAAAAAACAGGGAACACAGATATTTGCAGCATGTGATGGATTGAAAGATGGGAAAAATACTTAGAAGAAAGAACAAAGATAAAGACTTGCAGAGGCCGATACTAGAAAGGAAAAGGGCAAGCAAAAAAGACTGAATGTAGATTTTGGATGAACAGAAGGAAACAAATGTAATTTGTTATTAAAAATCTTTGCAGTATCCCTACAGAGTTATCTACTCAAATGTTTAACTCGTATGCAATTCTAAATAGCTATAACTTTAATCAACTTATTTAATCAATTTAGAAAAGTTGGATGGTAGCCTGGGTCAAATATCTTTCTTATGAATTAAACTGAGCTGAGTTCAAACTGAAATAAAAGTGAACTTAACATGAAGAAATATAAGAAAAGGAGATGTACTGCCTCCACTTCTCCCTCCCTAGCCATAATGGACAGAGGTAACTGTGTGTGTGACTATCTGCCTCTGTGTGTGTAACTGTCTGTCTCTGTGTGTGTGACTTTCTGCCTCTGTGTTTTTGACTGCAACTGTGTGTGTGTGACTATCTGTCTCTGCGTGTGTGACTGCAACAGTGTGGGTGACTATCTGTCTCTGCGTGTGTGACTGCAACAGTGTGGGTGACTATCTGCCTCTGTGTGTGTAACTGTCTGTCTCTGTGTGTGTGACTTTCTGCCTCTGTGTTTTTGACTGCAACTGTGTGTGTGTGACTATCTGTCTCTGCGTGTGTGACTGCAACAGTGTGGGTGACTATCTGTCTCTGCGTGTGTGACTGCAACAGTGTGGGTGACTATCTGCCTCTGTGTGTGTGTGTGACTGTCTGCCTGTGTGTGTGGCTGTCTGCCTGTGTGTGTAACTGTCTGGCTGTGTGTTTGTGACTGTCTGTGTGTATTTCAGTAAGTGTGTGTATGTCAGTGAGTGCATGTGTCTCTGGGAGTGTGTTAGTGTCAGTGTGTGTCTGTCAGTGAATGTGTGTGTTAGTTAAATAGTGTGTGAGACAATGACTGTTAGTGAGTGTGTATCAGTAAGGGCATGTTGTCTGTTAGCCTGCCCATTCACACTGCCACCCCCACACTCTGCCCCCCACATGGTCATTCCCACAACCTGCCCAAATCTAATTTAAACAGCACTCCCCCAGTACTTATCCAATACTACATGCACTACACAGACACTACTACATCCACTACATCCACTAGGCACACTGTATCCACCACACAAATACTAGATACACTACACACACTGCATTCACTACACAAACACAGACACTGCGTCCACTATACACACAATGTATTCAATGGACACACTGCATACAATACTCACTACATCCACAACATGGATGGAAGGGGGAGGCAAAAAAGACATTGAATCTTCTATCCATGGGGGAGATACGAGCTGAACAGACAGTGCGGCTAAATCTAAGGTGTGACACATTACCTACCTGGCTGAGACTGCAGTTTGCAGAGGTATTAAGGGAGTGTACACAGACACACACACACACACACACATACAGATTTTATAACTGCCCCCCTACTTTTGTCCCTGGCCTACCATTCCCACCCCCCCCCTCCCCCACAAATATGAATCCTAGAAATGCCACTGGTTAAGGTGTAATTATGACAAAAGAGTGTTAAAAAAAAATGAATATGCTGTTATATAGACAGTGTTGCATTTGAAAGGAATTTACTAACATCACTCCCCACAACCTCTTCTCTATACTTACATAGCTCTAATCAAAATCTTCCATGTTACCCTCACATGTTATTTCTAATTTTTTAATTTACTCAATGTGTGGGTCCTTTTGCAAATCAGTGTGGCAACATTCCTTACTGTAAACCTAAAGTGTCAGCACTTAGTGAATAAACCCCTAGCTAAATAATCAGGGGTAATGCACATATCACTGTAATTTGTTATTCAAAGAGTCCTCTATTGCGTTTGAGGGTTTTCCTTCATGTTGAAGAGATCATCTTTTCCAACTCTAAATCAGCACACTATGTTGTCATGAAGCATTTTGACCTGGTATGGAATTTGCTTTTAATTCCCAATCTGGCCCTGATTACTCACAACTAGCTGTACACCACAAACAGCTATACACACACAGTCATTTCACATCCTGTTAAAATTTAGTTTGTTTAATATATAACTTATAATATATATCGCCACGAACGGTTCGCCACGGACTCCTCATTGAGTAAACTTTGACGCTGTACCTCACAGTCAGCAGACACATTCCAGCCAATCAGCAGCAGACCCTCCCTCCCAGATCCTCCCACCTCCTGGACAGCTCACTAAGAATGCAGCTTCACATTGAATGTAAAATGGATGCTGTCCAGGAGGTGGGAGGGTCTGGGAGGGAGGGTCTGCTGCTGATTGGCTGGAATGTGTCTTCTGACTGTGAGGTACAGGGTCAAAGTTTACTCAATGATGAGTCCGTGGCGAACCGTTCGGGACATCACTACTTATTATCTCTAACTTAAGTGATAGCTGTGTGGGTACATTGGGTGAGAGTCCCACTCCATTGGACAAGCTTCAGTGATATCCTAATATGTTACACTACTGGCACCAACTATTGTATTTTAGCATAAGAGATGGCAATTTAAGCCATCATAGAAATATATCTCTGGAGTCAAAAATTAAATTAACATCAAGTGAAAACAAACAACACTGAAATAATTTCCCAAATGCTTAATAAAATACCAAAACATAATGACAAAAATAGTCATCAAGACTGGTCATTAACAAACAACATCTTTTGTCAGCTAGATAAGTAGCTATGGGAATATAAATGTCCCAGAAGATAATTCTAGTTACTCTCAGTTTTTAATACCAAATGGAACAAAAACTGAAGTTGGATTTTCAAACCAGAAATTGTAGATAATTGATAAGAAAAGTCTATGTAAATGTACACAAAATGGCTGTAATTTCCAATTTCTCTATCCATTTTGGATAATTTTTCCACTTAGTGAACAAACTCTATTATGCATACTACAATCTCCTTTAACAATAGGCTACTCTTTGTTAACTACAGGGGGCATTACTTACATTCACTTCCCAGCTAATTCAAACTTGCTATTCTAAAGAGTTTGGCCATCAAACTGTATTTCTTTTCTATCATGGGTGTAACTCCTACACTGAACAATTAATCCGTGGACACATATTTGCTTTATTCAGCAAGCTAAAATAGCTGGCACCCTCTTCATGAAAAGTAGCCAGGTTGAATACAAAATAAACATAGATTTAATGGGAAAGTAGATGGGTGATTCCAATTGGGTGAACTGTATAATATGATAAAATAATTGCTGGGCTCTAGACCTTTAGAGATACCAAAAAACACCATTTGACTGAAAAGAATATCTGCAGAGCCCGAGATGGCAATATTTTATACTAATACATGACTCCCCATTATGTTTCTTTGACGTTATGGTTTTTGAGGCTTAAGGTTAATGCTAGGGTTTATCCTAGTGAAGCACCTGGCCTGCCAGAGATTAGTACGAGTTACATTCCCATGCAGGATTGGATATAATCTGCCACCATTAAGGCATCTGCTTTCAGTAAAAGAGTCATTGCATTTTTATATTATCTAGAGTAATATAGAAATTAACTGTATCCAGGGAGACAGATTTTGGTGTGTGTAGTGTATGTGTAACGAAACATGCAGGCAATGTCAAACAATCTATACTTCAAGGGGGTATTTTACAGGGTGAAACATATTGATCTTAGATAATGTGGCTGGGTCCTTGAGACTGGCTGAGCTTAATTGGAGCTGTTGTTCTTCTACATCTAGGATACATATTTAATAACCCCTAAACTTAGGGAAACAAAGTTAAGTTATAATTTTCCATAGCCAACACTGTCAAATGATGCCATTGTAAACTTCATCACGCTTAGAAATTGGCAGCCAAAAGAAAAAAATCTGTACAAAATCTATTATCAAGCAACATCGTGCAGATTTTATTTCATGGCATCTCCATCTATTTGGGTGAAGGTATGGCATATCTAGTTTGTTTTCTACCTCTAACTATGCCCAGAGTTGACTTGTATACCTGAATTTCAATTCTCTCAAATCCACAGAGTTTCTCCATATTTTACTATTTGATATATAATCTTTTATGGATTGCATAAATATTTATTTTTCTTTGGACAAGTGGGAATTCTGCTATATGAGAACTTTAAATGAATACTGACACCAAAAGAGATTTTCTTCCATATATAATAAAAATAATGAGGAAACCTTTTGACGAAAAAGTAAATGAAACAGCACATTTTGCTTATTTTATCTAATTGGAGGTCTGTTTTGACATCATGCAATCTTTTTCCTGCAAACCTACTGAAAAAAATCCAAAAGTACCATTTATTTCTCTAAAACGTACACTTTGCACATAACATGAACATAATTATGCGCATTTTTCAAAAGTTCCAAATTGATCCAAAATATAGCCCTATGATCTAATACAATTTTCTTGAAACAAAGTAAACATGAGTGAAATACCAGACATATGTTCACAGGATGTGTACTTTATCCAGGATGTATAACATGTGTATTTAGTATCAGACTGCGTTGCTGATTTGCCTTACAAAGACATTATTAACACTAAAAATTTAAATATCAAATAGATTGCAAGCATAGAATACACTGAAGACTAATAAGTACCTAAGACAGAATGCATGCAATTAGTTTAACAAAATAAATTCTGCATAGCCTTAGGGTACTGAATTAGTGATGTTGTTTATTGAGCAAACTGGAATCTACTGATAATTGACAAGCAAACTATAATTATGAAGACAAAATAGTCAAGCCGAAAAAATATAAATAAAAGTTGTGAATTCCAGTTCAGTTATTTTTTTGGTTAAAACATGCAATATCTATGTTAATTATCTATAACTTTAAAGAATACCCACCACTCTTTAAAGTCTTTAAAGCATAACATCCATGTTAGGGGTTACATACGTGTTTAATATACATGCTGAACCCCATTAAGGGTTAAATCATGTTTTGTTCACGATCACAATAAAAAAAAATGTTAATGTAAACTACCTATGCAAATTTTAAAGTTAATTAACCCCTTAACCCCTTAAGGACCAAACTTCTGGAATAAAAGGGAATCATGACATGTCACACATGTCATGTGTCCTTAAGAGGTTAACATAGTGTATATTTGTGTACGTAAAAGGGAATGTAATAGTTAAATCTCCTGTTCATTTAAAAAAATGATTTGTTTAGAATAATAAAAAAAAAAAAATATTGCTTTGTCATTTTTGTTGGCACTAAACTCATTGGGTAGTTGTGTTTGTTGAGAGACAAGTGAGGACATGTATTTTTTTTACATTAAAGCTTTGTCTCTTTAAGGGGTGTAGTTAATCAAATTAAGAGTCCTATATTTATTCTGTGCCTGCATCTCCTGCAAAGCAGTTAAGAGTTGACGCGCAGATCTTAAGTCAGTTTTTTTTAAACTTTTGCAGAAAAATCTGTGAGTGAAAACTACAGAGATGTCAACTGCTGGAAAGGTGAGAAAACATTTAACACTTGTTTTTGCTCTCCAGATTTGAATATGCCATATTATATAATATTGCAAATCAATGGCCTGTACTATTTTATAACGGTTGTGTGAGTTTTATTTATTGGGGTATTGTTTACTGCAATAATTGTTTAAATACGTTTATACATTTCCAACTGTTGTTATTTAAGCCCATATAACAAGAACAATTTAAATTGGAAACATTTAAACTTAGATTTTCCCACTATATTACTGTTCATTGTAACCAAATACAATATTTCCATGGCAACAAATAAAACAAAATAAAGTAAAGAGAAGAATGAATTCTGACAGCAAAAAAAGACAAAAAGTGTATCCAACCCCGTCACAATTTATTGTGATTTTTGTCCACTCAGACAGCTGTGTGTATATCAAATCCTTCTTGAACTCTTTCATTGTTTTCATTTTCACAATTCCAAAAATGTGTACCATTAACTGTTTTTTAGGTTTGGATTTTTTTTTTTTACGCAACTGCCTGTTGGTAGATATAATATAGATAAATGCTGTGTGTTAAGAGATTCATGCCTTTTTTTCTAGATTGCCCTTAAGCAATGCAGAAAACATACATTTTTCAATAATCTGAGTAACAGGAGAATTCATAATAAAACACAATTTTTAAATCTTTGTTAGCTTGCAAATAAAAGTTAGAAGTCTTTCAAATGCTTGACATCTTTATATTTATAAATTGAAATGTTTTATTTTTATATAGTATTAGTAATCATGTACATCAAGGTACTGTGTCTTCTACATCTCTTTACTTGGCAGAGTACAACATTAATAACTGTCCTTATCAGTGCTTCCTTCGTAAAAAAATATGTTACACAGGCAGTGCTTTCTGTTGAAAGGAACACTGTAGCATTAAACCTAAATATATGTTTTTAATGGTAGAGTGTTCATCTTAATGTTTAGATTTAGCTTCGTGGCACTATTTAAAAAAAAATACATTACTACAAATGTTTGTTGTATTTCAGTGCCAGGATAGCCTCGTTGGTGCAGTGGCTCTGTAGTCGGTGAAGTTATCAGGAATCATGACTTTTGTCCAAACCAATGCTTCTCATAGAGAATAATTTGTGCATTCCACTGATCAAATGGTATGAAGCACTGAAACCAATGCTTCTCTATAAGAGCAGTTACCATCATCATGTTAAGCATGATAAACACAAAGATAAAGCACCGCGCTTACAGCAGCAGTAGCTTAGTATCCAACAGCTTAAAATACATAGTAAAAACAAAGAGAACGTTACCTGCGCTCTGGCCTTAATCCCCATGTACATTTAAACAAAATGGAGGCTCTTTAGTTTTATTCCAATAGCTATTTGAATATATAAGCTCACCTGCCACGTCAAGGCAAGCCTCAATAGGTGAGTTCCTACACTAGCCATCAGATATGCTGATATCAGCCAAGAATCTCCAGTAAGACAGGAAGGGGTATTTTATAAACCCTTTCACATTTAACCCTTTATAGGGCTTCTCAGTGGTGTACTAAGAAGGGGGCGGGGGGGCGGTCCGCCCCAGGTGCCAGCAGGGTGGGGGGTGCCTTGGGAGGGGGCGCCGGCCCCCCTCCTGCTGCAGCCGCCCGAGCGCTCTGCAGAGAGCCTCGGGCGGCTGCAGCTTTGCCCGCCCGGGCGCAGCATGGGAGAGGGGCTGACAGGAGGGAAGCGCTCAGCGCACCCTCCTGTCACTCCCTCTCTGTAGCGTGGCCGAGCCCAGTATAGTCCGCGGGTACAGGGAGCATCTGTCTCCTGTACCCGGCCGGACTAACAGGAAGTACACACTGAGTGTGCACTTCCTGTTAGTCCGGCCGGGTACAGGAAACAAAAGCTCCCTGTACCCGTGGACCATACAGGGCTCGGCCACGCTACAACTGAGGTGGTGGGGGGTGAGGGTGGAATAAGGAGAGGTGTGGGGGTCGGAGGTGGAATAAGGAGAGGTGTGGGGGGGTGGAATAAGGAGAGGTGGGGTGGAATAGAAGGTGTGGGGGATTAGGAGAGGTGTGGGGGTGGAATAAGGGAGAGGTGTGGGGGGTGGAATAGGAGGAGGGTGAAATAAGGAGAGGTGTGGGGGTGGAATAAGAGAGGTGGAGTAATAAGGAGAGATGGGGTGGAATAAGGAGATGGGGTGGAATAAGGAGATGGGGGTTGAATAAGGAGATGGGGGTTGAGATAAGGAGAGATGGGGAGTTAATAGAGGAGGAGATGGGGGTAATAAGGAGAGATGGGGGTGGAATAAGGAGATGGGGGAATAAGGAGGGATGGGGTATGGGAGAGATGGGGGTGGAATAGGAGATGGGGGGTAATAAGGAGAGATTGGGGGGGAATAAGGAGAGATTGTGGGGGGATAAGGAGAGATTGGGAGGGGGGAAGGAAATTGGCAAGGGGGGATAAAGAAAGAAATTGGGAGGGGGAGAAGGAAATTGGGAGGAGGGAAGGAAATTGGAGGGGGGGATAAAGAAAGATTGGGAGAGGGGGATAAAGAAAAATTGGGAGGGGGGAGAGAGAAGGAAATTGGAGGGGGGGAGAGATTGACATTCATCACACAGAAAAACACACAATGCATTACACACACAGACACACATACACAAGCAATGCAACCGTTACACACAATGCATTCATTACACACACTCAAGGCACCCCTTACACACACTCAATGCATCTCGTACATACACAGAAACACACCTTGCAGCCCTTACACATACAAACACAGATTCACACAATGCATTCCTTACACACATATCAGGACATACTCTACACATTCCACCCCCTGTGAACAAACTCATTGGTGGAACATGAAGGTGGACCCAGGGACCCAGACCTTGAGCTGTGTAAAGGGCCCCCAAAAAATGGAGCTGCTTCCCGTTCTCCCAGAACATTGATTTTTGTGACCACAGTTACAAACCGCCTCCAGAGAGTCTGTTCTACACCAGACCAGTGGAGCCGGACTGCAGCTAGAGCCCGTCATCATCCTCATCTGGTTGTAAGTAGGCAATCTAGTATATTATTCGTGGCACTAATCTCTAATTTACCTCACATTAAAGAAACACTATAGTCCCCAGAACCACTGCAGCTTAATGTAGTGGTTCTGATGTTTATAGCCTGTCCCTGCAGGCCTTTTAATGTAAACACGACGGCACTGCAGCACTGGCGTTAGATAACATGGCAAATCATATGGGTGGGGCATTGTGATGTCACATGGGGGGGCGGCAAACTTTACTTTTGCCTAGGGAGGCAAAAATCCTTGCACCGGCCCTGGCTGGAGGGGGCTGTGTGAGCTGTGGCCGCACAGTGCCCCATGGTAGTTAGGATGCCGTGCAGCCAGTACAGCTCACACAAGCAAACAGCTGATAAACTGTCCGCACGGACATCAGAGGCGGGACCAAACTGGCGCTGGGGGCGGGGCTTGGGGCAAGGGGGTGCCAAGCACAGGACCCGCCCCGGGTGCCAAATGCTCTAGGTACGCCCCTGGGGCTTCTACACATACAATAAACTTTTCTGGTATCAGACAAAGTGTAAACATCTCTAATGAGACATGAAGGGGTGTTTTATAAAACCCTACATACTTAACCCTGAATAGGGCTATAACACATACAAATCACCCTGCTGGTATCAGCTAAAAGGCAAATTTCTCTGATGAGACAGGAAGGGGTGCTGCCCCTACATCCTTATAAACTCTTAATAAGACAAACCTCCACACAGCGTGAGGACATCCAGCGATGCTCAGGTTTTCTGTGCTGTAGAGCAGGAAGTGCCCTCAAGTGGCTGTCTAGTAGACAGCCACTAGAGGTGGAGTTAACCTTGCAAGGTAATTATTGCAGTTTATAAAAAACTGCAATAATTACACTTGCAGGGTTAAGGGTAGTGGGAGTTGGCACCCAGACCACTCCAATGGGCAGAAGTGGTCTGGGTGCCTGGAGTGTCCCTTTAACCGAGACAAGCCACAGGGATTGATTGATACTTGTGTCTCCCTGGTAAAAGCACAGATTTAACCCTGCACACGCCAAAACTGCAGAACATTCATGCCATCCTAGTGGCTTTAAAGTGGCTTTATTTTCAGGATGGATGGAATGCCTTAATGTCCTTGAAGGATTAAGGAGTAAGCACCTCTAGTGCCAGTCAGTCTGCCAGTCAATGGAGGATGGTTTTGGAGAAGTGTAAACATTGCTATTTCTTAGAAACAGCAATGGCTTATATTGATAAAAAAAAAAAAGGCTTATGAACAAAATACATTTCATTAAAGAAACACTATAGTGTCAGGAATACAAATATTTTCCTGATACTATAGTGTTAAAAACACATTAGGTGGTTGTCCCTCTCTTCGCCTATCTTAAAAAAGTGTTAAACTCACCTTTATTCCACCGCCGCACAGTTCCGATGAGGCTGGCTTTGCCCCCATTCCGCCTCCTTGGCTGAGATCATGAAAATTAACTCTCTCAGTCATTCCGATGCTTGGGATGCTAATGAGCATGTGCGGCAAACCACCGCACTGCATCAATCAGCATCTCCTCGTAGAGATGCATTGAATCAATACATCTTGTTCCAAGAACAAGCCATCATCTAGTGCTTCCCAATCGTTTATGGGCCAAGACCCACTTGCAATGCATATTTTAAGAGGGGATAGCACATCATAGAAATCAGATTTAGATGAATAAAATAGTCACACCATGGCAATCAGCTTTAAATAAATACAATTGACACATCATGGCAATCAGCTTTGGATGCATAAAACGTGCACGTCATGGCCATCAATTTTAGATGCATAAATTGGCACACCATGGCAGTTTTAGATGCATAAAAATGACACATCGTGACAATCAGTTTTAGATGCATTAACCTGGCATAAAGTGCTCAAAATATAGTCCCCATCTGTTGGAGAACTCCAACAATGCTATGCCAGCTGGGGATCTACCATTTGCCCATACTTGCAGGGTTGCATTTGTGAGTGTTTGTGCGTTTGAATATAGTCGTTTTGAATGTTTTTGTGTGAAATATATGTGTGTGTGTGTAGGGTTGTATTTGTCTGTACTGTGGCCATTGTAAAGTAGTGGTGTACTTGTGTGTAGTGTTTGCGTTTGAATGCAATGGTGTGTTTGTATATACAGGGAGTGCAGAATTATTAGGCAAGTTGTATTTTTGAGGATTAATTTTATTATTGAACAACAACCATGTTCTCAATGAACCCAAAAAACTCATTAATATCAAAGCTGAATATTTTGGAAGTAGTTTTTAGTTTGTTTTTAGTTATAGCTATGTTAGGGGGATATCTGTGTGTGCAGGTGACTATTACTGTGCATAATTATTAGGCAACTTAACAAAAAACAAATATATACCCATTTCAATTATTTATTATTACCAGTGAAACCAATATAACATCTCAACATTCACAAATATACATTTCTGACATTCAAAACAAAACAAAAACAAATCAGTGACCAATATAGCCACCTTTCTTTGCAAGGACACTCAAAAGCCTGCCATCCATGGATTCTGTCAGTGTTTTGATCTGTTCACCATCAACATTGCGTGCAGCAGCAACCACAGCCTCCCAGACACTGTTCAGAGAGGTGTACTGTTTTCCCTCCTTGTAAATCTCACATTTGATGATGGACCACAGGTTCTCAATGGGGTTCAGATCAGGTGAACAAGGAGGCCATGTCATTAGATTTTCTTCTTTTATACCCTTTCTTGCCAGCCACGCTGTGGAGTACTTGGACGCGTGTGATGGAGCATTGTCCTGCATGAAAATCATGTTTTTCTTGAAGGATGCAGACTTCTTCCTGTACCACTGCTTGAAGAAGGTGTCTTCCAGGAACTGGCAGTAGGACTGGGAGTTGAGCTTGACTCCATCCTCAACCCTAAAAGGCCCCACAAGCTCATCTTTGATGATACCAGCCCAAACCAGTACTCCACCTCCACCTTGCTGGCGTCTGAGTCGGACAGGAGCTCTCTGCCCTTTACCAATCCAGCCACGGGCCCATCCATCTGGCCCATCAAGACTCACTCTCATTTCATCAGTCCATAAAAACTTAGAAAAATCAGTCTTGAGATATTTCTTGGCCCAGTCTTGACGTTTCAGCTTGTGTGTCTTGTTCAGTGGTGGTCGTCTTTCAGCCTTTCTTACCTTGGCCATGTCTCTGAGTATTGCACACCTTGTGCTTTTGGGCACTCCAGTGATGTTGCAGCTCTGAAATATGGCCAAACTGGTGGCAAGTGGCATCGTGGCAGCTGCACGCTTGACTTTTCTCAGTTCATGGGCAGTTATTTTGCGCCTTGGTTTTTCCACACGCTTCTTGCGACCCTGTTGACTATTTTGAATGAAATGCTTGATTGTTCGATGATCACGCTTCAGAAGCTTTGCAATTTTAACAGTGCTGCATCCCTCTGCAAGATATCTCACTATTTTTTACTTTTCTGAGCCTGTCAAGTCCTTCTTTTGACCCATTTTGCCAAAGGAAAGGAAGTTGCCTAATAATTATGCACACCTGATATAGGGTGTTGATGTCATTAGACCACACCCCTTCTCATTACAGAGATGCACATCACCTAATATGCTTAATTGGTAGTAGGCTTTCGAGCCTATACAGCTTGGAGTAAGACAACATGCATAAAGAGGATGATGTGGTCAAAATACTCATTTGCCTAATAATTCTGCACTCCCTGTAATGTTTGTATTTTAATAAAGGGATGTGTTTGTATGCAATGTTTGCGTTTGATTGCAGGGACGTGTTTGGATGTAATGTTGGCTTTTAAATGCAAATGTACATTTGGGTGTAGTATTGGTTTATGAGTGAAGGGGTGTGTTTGTATATAATTTTGGAGTTAAATTGCAGGAGTGTGTTTGCTTGTTGTGTTGGTGTTTCATTGCTTGGATATATGAACTTACACTGCCGCATACATACTTACACAGATACATATACACTTTAACACACAGATACATACATATAAACACACTGACACATACACACAAATTCTTATACACACTGACAAACACACACTTGGATACACCCTGACACTCGGATACACACACACACACATACATACACACATGCACACCCTGACACATGCACACACACAGATACACACACTGACATATACACACACACACTGATACACACCCTGACATATACACAGGGCCGCCACCAGATATTTTGGGGCCCCTAACTCAGCTCAGGCTCTGGGCCCCTGGGGGCCCGCCACCAACCCCGCCAACAGGGACTGCCTCCAAATCCCGCCCACAGGAATACACATACAGACACAAACACACACTGATACAAAAGGACACAGATACACAGGGCCCCCATTAGGGGGTGACAACCATGATGGTTGTCATGGCCCAGCGGCCCTGGCGGGCCTGGCCGCCCAGGCCCCACGTGTAGCGGCGGAACTGCCGCCAGTGCATTTAGGGCCACCCAATGGGCTCTATATCTTCAGGGACCCTGTCAGCGCTGTGGCCGTGTAATAGCGCGACTGGGTCCCTTTAAAAAAAAAAAATTGCAGCCGCAACGCAAGTGCTGGGAGGAAGTGATCACTTCCTCCCAACTCACTCTGCGCGGGAGGAGAGCCAGCCAGGCAGTGAAGAGGGAGATCGGCGCCGACTCCCATCAGCCACAGCCACCATCCTGCAAAGAAAAAGTAAGAAACAGGAGGGTGGCTGGAAAATGAGCTCTGTGTGTGTATGTATAAATGTATAAAAATATATAAATGGGAAATCGATCTCCACCATATAACGTCCACCAAAGTTGGCGTCACTGGTGGAGATAGATCTCCCCAGTACCAAGAGCAGACTCCAGGGGTCTCCAGGGGCCTAACCCCAGTTAATTCAAAGAAAAGAAAAGAAAACAAACACAGAGCATACAAATGTTAAAAAACAGATGTATGGAACTGTGTATATCTGGAGATAAAAAATAGTCTATATCAAATTTAAGCGTGTTAAAAAGTTATTAGCTCTCTCTTTATAACACGCTTAAATTTGATATAGACTATGTATAAATGTATGTCTGTGTGTATGTATGGATGTCAGTGTCAGTGGGTATGAATGTTTGTGTGTGTGTGTGTGTGTGTGTATGTATGTATGTAAGTATGTATGTCTGTATGTATGTCTGTCTGTCTGTATGTATGTCTGTATGTCAGTATGAATGGATGTCAGTGTATGTATGTCAGTATGTCTGCATGTATGTCTGCGTGTCATTATGAATGTATGTCTGTGTGTGTGTATGTATGTGTGTATGGTTGTAAGTGTCTGCATGCATGTATGTCAGTACGCAGTACTGACAGTCATACATGCAGACACATACATACATTCTGATATACGTACACACGTACACCTCATTTTTCAGCCACCCTCCTATTCCTTACCTTTAAGTTGCAGGAGGGTGGCTGGGGATAATGGGAGCGGATGCCTCAGTTCTCCTCTCCTCTGCTCGGGTGTCTCTCCCCCCGCACGGAGTAAGCTGGCCGTCACTTCCTCCCAGCAGCATTTGAGGTGCAACCGTATTTTTTTTTTTTTTTAAAAGGGGCCCGGTCGCGCTATTACAGTGTTGACCGGGCCCCTGAAGAAATAGGGCTCATCAGATGGTCCTAAATGCTTGGGCCACCTGCTGGGCCCCGGTGCAGATGCACCTGCGGCAGTTTTGCTGCTCCACGTGGGGCCAGGGCGGCCGGGTCCCCCAGGGATGCCGGGCCCGTGACAACCATCATGGTTTTCACCCCCTGATGGTGGCCCTGCCAATGATAATAATATATAAAACTTCCACCTTCCTAAGACTATCAGCTTGCATAGTTGCTTGTTACATATTTAATTTCATAACAATTAAGTGCTTTCTGGTTTCCTGATTCGTCTCTCATATGGGAATATTCTTGATTTTGGCACAGTTGACTTTTGTTTGTTACATAGTTGTGCACATTTACATGTTGGCAGGCCTTTCTCTTAAACTGAGAATTTCTTTCATTAAACATAGCCATCCTAAGTACCAGTCTACCTTTTACTATACAAAAATAAATAAAATGAACAAACAAAAATGAGAATATATAACAGGTTAGCAGCCCAGTTCCTATCACTGGCTCATCTTCATTACCTGCTGAAGAAGGTGTCCCAATAGGTGTTCTCTGTAGTGGTTTTGGTGCTCGGATAGTTTTTTTTTTTTTTTTTTTAAATGTTATCAATAGTGACATATTCTTACTCACAAAATAAAAAGTCAGAATAATACAAAAAACAAACTCTTGTTTAAGTAGTCTTAATCTGAGTGGGGTAAACATTTTAAACAACACTTTTTGTTATGTTTGCACGCACTTTATTGAATAGGCAGTGTGTAAGTGTGAAGTTACAAGAAATAAAATAATGGCACGGATCTTAGGCTGAGTTGCTAAGGTAAGCAGTTGCCCAACATATTAACTTAGTCTACCTATCATTTGTCATATGTTTAAATCCTTTAATCAATACAAATCATGAATGTTTATTGCAAAGCCTCATGGAGAAAAACATACTGCGTTAAAATTCAGTGTAGGCTTTGATATATCAAATAGCTTGATGAAATGGAAAATATTCTGTACACATACAAAAATAAGGCTGTTTTGTGTGCAGTGTGCAATGTCCTGCCAATTTACTATAGCTTTCAGCCATGAAAACAAACATTTGGAAAAGAGGGAGGCACCAAGGGTGTGCTTGTTTTGTTTTAGATATCTCCAGCTCGCACACAGCCGTTGAGGTTATGTAAGGATAAGCCTCAATTGAATACTACAGCATACTGGGTGAACAGGGCAATATTTGTCAAGTGGCAAGAAATCTATACAGGCAGTAAAACAACATTGCAGTGACATTTTATATGCAGTACGGGCATTTTAATAAAACAGTGAGCCATACACACAGAGAGCATTCTTTACACATGCAAAAACAAAAGTCTTCTGTGCTGCATCCTGGCATTATACTAAGGCTGCTAACAATGAAAACAGAAATCTAGGAGGAGAGGGCATTTACGCTATTATATATTGGATGCAAGCATGTGTTTTTTACATGAGGTTGCTCAAGGACACAATACTGTGGATGGAGATCAGTAGAACAGTGCATTTTTGCACTTTTGGACAAAATAACTATCAGAAGAAAATGACAGTTGGCAAAAAAAATAAACAATCGACATAAAATGAAAACCTTGATGAGAGATAAAATATATATATGTATATATTTAGATTAAACTTTTACTGAACCAACCCACCATTGTTGAATGTAGTCACCATTGTTGAAAGTTTTTTGTTTTTTTTTATGAAAAAATAAATAAATAAATATAATATATATAATTTGTACAATTTTAATTATGTCACAATTTAGAATTTCAAATGTTGGGGGTTTATGTTCTAAACAGTGGATTCTTTTTTGTTTACAATTAAATTGCTAAAATTCAGATGAGAAGTGAGGAGTATAAAAGAGATTGGGTAAATTAGCTGATGTTGCACATTTTTTATATTTATTTTATTAATTTATTTATCAATCTTTTTTTTTTTTTTACAAAAAAAATGCATTTTGGTAATTACACTCCTATATGTTTTTTTTTTTTTTTTGCTGCATATATTTTCCAATGTTAAATGAATAAGATAAATGTTTTAAATAAATGATTTATTTATTCCTCAGAAATATAAATTATTTAACAATGAAATAGTTGTATAACTATATTGTATATTTGCTTCTAGGTAATCAAGTGCAAAGCAGCTATTGCCTGGGAGGCTAGCAAACCTCTTGTAGTTGAGGAAATTGAGGTTGCTCCACCAAAGGCTCATGAAATCCGTATCAAGGTACAGTATATAATTTTTTTTATTATTTATGTGTTTATCAGTGAAATACATTGTCTCCTTTGAAAATGTTTCAACAACTAAAACAGACACAGACAGAGGATAGATGGATGGATAGATAGATAGATAGAGACAGACACACATACGGACGGACAAACATTTTTGAGCAGGCATGCCACACGACTTAACATTGCTTGTTATTTTAAAATTTTATTTTCAGATTTGTGCAAGTGGCATTTGTCACACCGATGACCATGCCCTGGGAGCGCATATGGCTGGCATGAAATTTCCAGTCATTTTAGGACATGAAGGAGCTGGCATTGTTGAGAGCGTTGGTGAAGGAGTGACATGTGTGAAGCCTGGTAATATCAGATTACAACAAGTACAAATTGTACTTTTATACTCCTTGAAAAATCATTTAACAACTTCACTACCAAGTACTTTTGGTTGTAAAATGTTAGAATAGCATTTATTTAAAATATGGAATGTGTAGCTAGTGCCCAATGGTAGATTAAGCAGCACTTTTGTGAATAGATAACTTAGTTATTAAGTCAATGCAATGTTTTTGTTTTTTTTAATTATTTGTTTATTCTTTATAAAAATAATGGGAGAATAAACCATTCTAAACATTATATGTAATAATACTACTGTCCACCCCAGCCCGCAATCCCACTAACAATATCTAGAAGAAGGTGGACATCACATTGTCCACCCCCTACACAATTTTGACAAATGTTCACCACCCTAATCCTGATGGATGGGGGTCCCCAAACCCCTAGCCATCCTACTCAAATAAAAAAGGTCCTTCCTACACCCTCACTCAATCATGATAATGATGTATGGCAATACATCTTTTGGAAAGCAATATATACTTACCATCAGACATCTTCTTTCGTCTTAAATCTTTTTCTTTCCTCAGCTTCACAAAACACCCATAACTGCTCACTGTTTAGCGAGCCATGTGCAACATAGCAGGAGAAGGCATAAGGAAGGATAAAGACAAACAGACCGTTTTTTGGTTTTTTTTTTATTCACTTTTTTGATGTTGTAGCTGGCTAACCCTCTCACTGCCGAGGTTTTTTTTTTTTTAAACTATTTACTCGCTGGCTGCTAGCACAGCCACTGGGCAAATAACAGATTTTTTAAATCTAGACCCATAATACTATGAATAATGCCCATACTTTAAAGTCTGGATGTCCCCATACAGCAGTGAATAGTTTTGCCCCCTTTTAACATGCAGTCATTTTCAATTTAGTGAATAACCCAGTAAAACTTTATTACATTATCCTCCTAACATCTGGATTTGTGAACATGCACTATATCTCTGCTTGGACTTTGGTTGGGTAATCAGTGCTTCTGACCAAACAAAATTTAAAGATGGCTGGTCAATGATAAGCCAGGAGAAAACTGATATTAAGAACTTACATTTATGTGCACTTTATACAAGTACAATATACAAAAAGCCTTTAACACATGCAAGCTTTTATTTTAAATTATACAAAAATTATGACAAACTGTCTTAAAATATTTTGTTGTTTGTTACTGGTCTCTAAGAGTGAAAGTAAAGCAGACAAGGCTTTTTTTTTCAGAACGCATGCTCCATGAAGTCAGTGGAGCATATGTATTAAAGCTAATGGGTGGATCTGATGTATTTGTACAGGAGACCATGTCATCCCACTTTGTAGTCCAATGTGCATGGAGTGTAAAGCCTGTATGCACCCTGAGAGCAACTTCTGCATCAAGAATGAGTGAGTATTATAAGTATAAATATACAATTAAAGGAGAGCCTGCAAGAATACAGATGTATATGCATGCTAGGATTCTTCAGTAATGTACAGTCTTCTTTAAATAAAATGAGTGAGAGCCACACTGTAAGGGATGACAGTGTGAGTATAGAGGGTGACATTGTGTGTGTAGGGGGGTGACAGTGTGTGTGAGATAGGTAAAAGTGTATGTGTGTGGGTGACAGTGAGTAGGGGGGTGACAGTGTATTGGTGTGTGTGGGGGGGTAACAGTGTGTATGTGTGTCTGGGGGGCTGGCAGTGTGTGTGGCAGGTGACGGGGTGCCAGTGTGTGTGTTTTTGTGGGGGGGATGATACTGTGTGGAACGACAGTTGGGAGGGGATGACAAGTAGGAGGAGGGTGACACTACAGTATTTGGGGAGTCTGTTTCAGTGAGCAGTCTCCCCACACTAAAATACCCTTGTGGTCATGATTTTTAGTCTGCTGCTTTGCGGGTTGCAGAGCTGCAGACCATGTGTCTCACCAGGGCAGATCCAGGCTGATCAAGCAGTTATGGCTGCTGGCAGGCCTCTTAATTCCCCCAGCCCTCTGTGCTTCTGTTTCTCTCCCAACACATTTGTGTGTCTCTTTTTTCATTTCCCCAGCCCCGCTGTGAGTCTTTTTGCCACCCCTCCCTGTGCTTCTAGGTTCCTCTTTGTCCCACCAGCCCTTCTGTGTGTCTCTTTGTGCCCCCAGCCCCTTGTGTGTCTACATGCCCCCCCAGTCCTTCTGTGTCCCCTGCCCATATGTGTGTCTCTCTGTGCGCCCCATGTCCTCTGTGTCTTCCCCCCCCAGCACATTTGTGTTTCTCTTTGTGTTTCTCCCCTCCTGTGCCCTCTTTAGCCTCCCTACCCTACTATGCACTCTTTTGCCCACTTTTCTAGTGCCCTTATGTAGCTCCCTTCTCTCCTGTGCCCTCTTTAGCCCCCTCTATCCTCCTGTTCCCTTATGTTACCTCCTTCCCTACCATGCACTTCTGTAGCCCTCTCTCCTCCTGTGCCCTTATATAGCCCCCTCTCTCCTATGTTCTTCTGTTGTCCTAGGCCCTCCTGTGCCCTTATGTAGCTCTCCTTCCCTCATGTGCCCAATTTTGTGCCCTCCCTTCCTGTGCCCCCTTTAGGCCCTATCTCCTCCCAATTTTGTGCCCTCCCTTCCCTCCTGTGCTATTCTGTAGCCCCCTCACCTCCTGTGCCCTCTTTTACCTCTTCTTGTGCCATTCTTTTGGCACAAGAAGACTACTATGCCCTCTTTGTCCTATCTCCCTTCTGTGCCCTTATGTAGCCCCCTACCCTCCTTTGCCCTTATATCGTCCCCTGATTTCTGGTTCCCCTGTCTTGGCTTGTTAAATGGTATTTGTGTATTTCTGGCTTCCTTGACCTTGGCTATCCCTTGACCATTTTCTGTCTCTAACGTATTAGTCCAGCCATTCTAAGGACCGGTTTACGTTCTATGCTTTTTATTTCCTTTCTATTTTCTATGTAGATTTTACATAGTTCTGCGTGTTGGACCACACTAGCAGTCGTGACATCTACAAACCCTACAACCCCTATGCTTGCTTATACTAGCTGTAACCCTAACCTTACCCAGTGGCAACCGTACCCCACCTGACAGAGGGGGGCCTCATGTATCTATTGGTACCTGAGATTTCCTGATGTGAGCAGGGATTTAACCCTGCCTTATGCCCTAACATTCTTAAAACCATAGTTTGTAGGATGATACAATAAAACACCATAAAGATGTTAAGAGACTTATTAATAATTTGCTGTTGACAAGTATATTATATTGTCCTTACTTGTTTGGCTGCCATAAATTTACTGTGTTTGTAAAAAATAATTTAAATAATCACGGTTTTTGTATTCTACTAGCTATAATGATAATACGGCTAAATACGTATTTTGGGGGTGTTTATTTTATACATGGTTTAGGTATGAGTTGATATTAAGATGTAACACAATGTTTGTTTTCTTTTTTTTTAATCACAGTGTTGGCAAGAATGTTGGACTTATGCTTGACAAAACCACCAGATTTACATGCAAAGGAAAAATGATCCACAACTTTATGTCCTCAAGCACCTTCACAGAATACACTGTGGTGGATGAGTTTGCCATTGTCAAAATTGATCCAAAGGCTCCCATGGACCATGTGTGCCTTATTGGCTGTGGATTTTCCACTGGTTATGGAACTGCAGTGAACACAGCCAAAGTAAGCATAGGCCTAAAAAGATTTTCTTTTTCGTTGAACTTGGGGATATGTATCCTTATTACCCTTAGCACAGCTTTTATTTCAGTGCAAAAATAAAATAGAAATAAACCAAAGGGAAATGGTTATAACTATTACCCATACAGCTTGAGCACAAAAGTGCCTTTTTTTAAAATAAATACAACAAAATACAAGGTTATTCACTGAAGTGGAAATTGTGGTGAAATATTGACAATTCAAAGTGAATTTCCAATTTTATGCCAAAATAGTTGAAATTCACTTTGAATTTACTTCGAATTCCCAACAATTCACCCTTTGGCAAATAACTCTGATAGAAAAAGAGAAACAAATAAATGTGACATCAGTCTAATCTTGTGATGTGTTTAAGTGCAAGCAATAGTCAAAATTGCACAAACATATTCATGCATAGTTTATCTCCAAATGTTGCCTTTCAATGATGATACCTAAATAAAGCCATGATTTAATATTTTTGGATAAGATATTAAAAGGGTTTAATTTTTTGGGGAGAAGCTTTTAAAATGATTAACTACAGGGTGTCCCAAAAATGTATACTTTCTTTGAATGATTATAAAGTTAGTGTTTATTAACATACAGTTCATTTTGAAAATTTTAAAGAATCTAAAGAATTTAATAAATTTTTTTGTCATTGCCTGTTTTCAAACTGATGAAAATGAACTGTATGTTAATTTTAATATTGTTTGGTATATTGGTATATATATTTATGATATATTTTTTATATTTTAATATTTTGAAAAAAAAATAATTTTAAAAGTTCATCTGAAACTATTAAATCATTTGAAAAGCATATCCAAAATATTAAATCAAGGTCTAAATATGAAAATAACAGTTAGGATTAAAAGTACTAGAGATAAAAGTATCAATATATGTTGTTACGGTACCTCCAGTAATTAAATGCACAAACCGCCGTTTAGTGAATGCTCCCCGTTCGCAATAATGTGGTCTGGTAGCGTAGACAGTGAAACCATGCGAACCGCCAGCTAGTGAACACTCCAAACTCCCGAACGGTACCTGTACGGCTCTTTCCCTTCTCAAGCTCCAAATACACGAATCGCCAATAGCAGCCGAACGGCAATAGTTTCCAAGCGGCAAATAATTCCAATAAGTAGTCTCTAGGCGCCGGTAATAAAATCCCCCCAATAACGAGACCAAGCTCCGCTTTGAGGGTAAAACACGAACTGATTTACTGTGGGCTACCTGCCCGGTATTTATGCAGGTCTCCCACTTGATGGACACTCCTCTACGGGACCAATGGGAGACTGGAATAACAGAAGGACATGGGGATATTTCAGACATACATCCCCACAATATTCCCAGCATGCATCACAGTTTCCTCCACTCTGCTCGGGAGATAATTGGGAAGTAATTCAATTATCTCCCCGAGCAGAGGCAAATCGCCATTTTAACTCAAAGTTATAAAACACATTAAAATACATAACTTTCTAATTGCCGAACATATTGCATTCGTGTAACACATCCCCAGATAGCCTGGATCTGAGTGTATATTATTGGCGAATAGCGCTCAGATCCCATACGCATAGTTCAATCGCCATGGAGTCAAAGTCTATTACAGCTCTTCGGTATGCGATTGACTCTATGGGAAGGCTATCTGGGTTAAGTCCATTCGTGTTGTTGAATCTCCCGAACGGCCGGCATTCGTATGCTTTTGTCGATTGAGAAGGGGAGGTCGACGGCTTCAGCGGTGTTCGGTTGAAAAAGTGTCCGTTTTCAGTTCCATGAAATAACCGTCGAACACCGCTGGTCTTTCGCATGGTTAAAATGGCCGCCGCCTCGTGGTCGACATACGAACAACGACCACCCGGTATTCGGTTTTAATTGAGAAGTGTCTGTGGTTAACCGCAACGTTCTAATTGGGATCAATAGGTTAACCAGCAGCACACTTCTCTTCTGGGTGGCCGTCCGTTCGGTAGTTCCGTTCGAGAAAAAAAAACATTCCCTTAAACAAAGCATACGAATGGGGGAATTCATGCAAACGGCAAAACAGACGAACACAGTGCTTTTAGTTCATACAGATGGGTCTGTCACATATGTTATGCATAAATTTAATAAAATGCATAGCATACCGTATATATGTTATAAAACCATATATCAGTCCTACTTGCCTTGAATTGCATCAGACTTTAAAAAAAATTGCAACAGTGCCATTTTATAGATACAAGAAAATGGTTAAAAAAAGGCTGTAATATTATTCAAGCTAAATTGAGGCAAATGTATAGTTAAAACATAACTGATGATTTCATATTTGGCAATTGTAATATGTGCATCATCCTACAGTGCTTATGGTGTGTCCACATTGTAGGCATTGTGAAAACAGGACAGATATTCTCGCAGTCACTCTTATCCAAGCTTTAGATATGACTATCTTGTAAATAATATGTTATATGTCTGCTGAACATTTCACTTACTCAGGGCATATGCAATACATACCTACAGTACATGAAGGTGTCCATGTCATTGACCATTTGTTCACATTCTCCAGTTCTCGACTACTATATTTAATTATTTCCTATATGTCATAGAATTAAACTAATGTCACAGTTATCAAATTATGTACCTTAATTTTTATATTAAGGTATTATTATTTAAAATGCAGCAGAATATTTGTTTTTATCTTTTTGGGAAACCTTCTACTTTTGCGCTTTGATTCTGCAAAAAAATAACCATATTTGCCTTTATAGTAACTTTTTATTTATTTATAGGTCACATGTTGTATTGGTACATTTTATTAAAATAAAGATCTAAATCATCACATACAAAATTAAGGTATTTTTAGACTCCAGAATATTAAATGTTTTTTTAGAACTGTATTTTCTGATCTGCTCCTGTGTTCATTTTTTTCAAAACTAAACCATTGTCAGCACAAAAGCAGGATATAAACCCTCAATACTACAGGCATATAAAAATAACCCATGAAACCCCATTTGCAAGTAATAGATGTGTTTAGTTAAGTATTGTGCTTCCAAAGGTTCTTACATATGTGACATAAAGCTTATCTGTAATCGTAAGCTCCATAAGTCTGTTTCACAGCTAGAGAGTTGGGGTGCTTGATAGCTAGCTTTCCAAAATACACACTACTGAAACTGAGATTTGTATCAACCTATTTTATCTTAACTGTGTTAAAGGGCTAGTCTAAACACCAAAATTCATCATCTTAATGAAATAAATGATTTGGGGTCGCAGATACTGGCTCTGCAGTCCTGTAAATGAAAACAGTGTAATTTCTATGTCACGTACTGTGTGTTCTCTATGAGAAGCACCTGATTATATAAAACTCATCAGGATTGATAATTTCACTGCAGGAGGATCAGGCTGCAGTGAGGAGACTGGAATAAAGGTGTTTTATAACAATTTTATTATTATTATTATTATAGGTTATTAAAAAATAAATTATATTTTGCATTTTGTTAAATATTATATATAAAATGTATATAATATTTTAGCATGTTAGACTATTATTTGTGATTCAATTATTTACCAAATCAATAAGGAAAACAATATCATTACATTTCAATATTTAAAGACATTGCAGCATTTATCCATATACACACTGATTATTCCCTAATATAATTTTTGACTAAACTTTGCATGGTCCAATCTATGAGAATTATAATATAAAGGAGCTCTAAAAGTAAATGTAGCCTATTTTCAAAGATAAAAATGTCTCAAATACACATATGGAGAAAGTTATGTTTCATTCCCGCCTAAAATCTGGTTATGGTTGTGTAATTCAACCGTAATTGTATTATTTTATTGTACTTTAATTTTTGAGTATGTTCTTGTTTTTGCAATAGGTAAAACCTGGTAGCACATGTGCTGTGTTTGGCTTGGGCGGAATTGGAATGTCTACAGTAATGGGATGTAAGGTGTCTGGAGCTTCACGGATCATTGGCATAGACATCAACAAGCGCAAGTTTGCCAAAGCTAAAGAATTTGGTTGTACAGATTGCCTGGATCCAAATGATTATGACAAGCCCATCCATGATGTTATTGTGGAGATGACTGATGGAGGAGTGGACTATTCCTTTGAATGTATTGGAAATACTGATGTCATGGTAAACATTGAGATATAAAATATATTGAACCTCACAAATTATGGTCCTATAATTATTTTTACTAATTTCCTTATTAACATGTCTTTAGTTGTGTTAGTTAATTCATTACACGCTCTACTGAACACAAATCTACAAAGCTTACAGGATTATTCATTAAACACCGGATTTTGTCTGGTGAACACTGCCAAATTCCGACTGCTTTTGAAATTCTCATATATATTAAAGCCAAATTAAATTAGGATTCAGTGATTGTGACCGATTCGGTAACATTTGTTTGGATAAGTTTGAAAAATCGCTAATATACTAAGCCAATAATACAACAAATGCATTCTGCTAGCTCCACCAGTGGGCAAACTATTTGGATTTTTAAAAAATAGATTCTTTTTTATTCTCCGAGCCTGGATTTTCAGCATTTGGCCAGGATTCCAATCATCCAAGGATGTTTGCTCTGGCTGAAATATGGACCAAATTCGGGCCCATCATCAATATCTGGAGTTTGCAGTCCAAATGGCCCTGTGTGCAACTACATGGACATGGTTTTTCCCCATTTAGTTTGTGCCATTCAGACTTAAGTGAATAATCCTGTTAGTTCAAAGTCTTAATACATTTGTAAAAATACTAGCACTAATATACTGCAAACTTTTATCCTTTTTACACTAATGAGTGTGTGTTTCTTATTTTCTCAGGTCTCTACTATCCTGGCTAGCCACGGTGCTTATGGAAGTGTAAATATTATCGGTGTCCCCGATCAACATGCAAGAATGACTGTGGATCCCATGTGGCTGCTGACAGGACGCTCAGTAAGCGGAGCTTTCTTAGGAGGTATGATATAGCAGAAAACAAATCCTTTGAAAATCAAGCATAACTTTTATGTGCTGGATTCTCTTAACATAGCAAACATTTTCTCTGTTTACTGAATAGCAATTACTCCATTGAAGTGTATTAGGAAACTCCTATTCAGTAAGCAGAGTAAACATTTACTCTGTGAAGAGAAAATAACAGGCTTGATTCATTGGTACCTGTAAAAACCAACATAAGCAATAAAAAGATTTCTGAGCTAATGTAAAGAATTGTTCCAACCTTTGTACATGAAGTGTTAATTTATGTTGATGATACATCTGTGGTCTAAATAATGAACGGAAGGGGATCTAAAAGAAGGAAAGTTGTGTTTAACCCCTTAAGGACCGAACTTCTGGAATAAAAGAGAATCATGACATGTCACACGTCATGTGTCCTTAAGGGGTTAAGGTGACTGTATATTAATAGTGTGAGGTGCTTGAATCAATGGGCATATATTTGTATTTCAAGCCTCAGGTCATGTTTATTAAATTTTCTACAAATTTTATATTTAGTATTTAGGAAATATAGGAATATTTCACTAAACAAAAAGAGTGATCAGTTTACAATGACCTTGGTAAATTAAAGAAACATTAACAATGCCTAAAGTCCCTTAGCTTGCTGAAATACTTTATGTGTGCAAAGTGTGTCTTTTTTTTTTTTTTTTTTTTACAAAGCTGTCAGTCCATAAACTGTTCCTGTTACTTCCTGGTTGTTTAGCTCAATGGAGCTAAACTCAAAGACTTCTCATTGAACTGCATTGGAAAGTCTGTGATTGGATAGCCACAGAAAGTTTAGGCTGAGGAAGTAGGGGCTTGCAGAGGCTGCAGACAAGAGACCTGCAGCTTTGGAAGCTGTTTTTAGATTTACACCCGGTGAAAAATGCATAATTAAATGCATGCATGTTTTCTTTGGGGTGTATCCACTAAATGGTAATTTATTTATTTATTTTGGGGAGGGGGGGCAGTGGAGTGTCTATTTAATGTAAATAAGCATTTTTCAACCACATCTCATTGTTGAGATAATTAATAAACAGATGTAAAATTTTTATTTTTGTTTCTAACAAGGAATGTTGCAAATGCATTACACTACTTCTGTTTATGTTGAACTGTGCCTTTTGTTATGTAATTAGGCAAATTTACTTGTAAAATATACATTTTGTTTAATTTTAAAGACTATAAAGCAAAAGAATCTTTCCCTGGCTTAGTAAAGGATGCCATGTGTAAGAAATTCAACCTTGGCGGTTTGGTGACCCACAAAGTGTCTTTGGAAAATATCAATAAAGGTTTTGAATATATGCGCACTGGACAATGGTAAGCTGTTAACTATGGCTGAAAAATGTATATATGTATGTATAATTAACCTATAGGTTGAGATGGACAAACATATATACATCTAAATATATATATGTATGTATTTGAAACATTGGTAGCAGTTGTTGAACAGAAGGTTTAAAGGGATATTCTAAGCACCAAAATAAGAAGTGGAGTTTTTGTTGTTGTTGTTGTTGATCATAGCCCTTCTATTGGTGATTACAGTTTCGCACCAACTTATTTTAATCTAACATTTGTAGTTCCACTGACAATTTTCCACAATTCCTGGGGAATACATTTGATATGTACGAAGCCTCAAATGTAATCCAATATACCATATTAAATGAACTCTCCAATGGATATGAGTATTATGTATCCAGTTATATATCATGTTTTGGCGTCATAAGGCTAGCATCTTCAACAATATATTCCATTACACCTTTAGTGCCAAGGGTTATTTACTCTGCAGTAATATTAAAAATATAGCTGAGAAAATCATGTGTAAAAATTCTAGCCCTCTTTGAAATTGAAATAACGGATATGGTGATATTAAAATAATATTTGTGTGTTCTTATTTTACAGTATTCGTTCAGTTGTTGAGATTGCAAAGCCTTGAAGAATGCTAGTATTCAAGAGAATCCTTTATATTCATTTGATAGACAATGGGTGTACTTTGTGTTTATCCAGTTAATCATTAAAGCTGCAAATATATTTCATTTTGTTGCTTTTCAGCCTATTTGATAAATATCTTACATTTCTACTAATCAGGCTTTTTAAAAATCATTTGCTTTATTTTTTCTTTAATATGTTACTGATTAATAAAAAATAAAAAGGCATGATTTTGGCATACTTAAAACATTTGTTTGCATGTTTTTTGGTTATTTTTGTGAGAAACAGTGTATCATGAACCACCGATTTTGGTCTCCTCTCCAGCCTTCCTGGGTTGGTTCCCTGGTGAACGGTATCTAGGGACACAATTAAACTCAGCAAGAGAAATGTGAGCACATCATTAGACCCCTCACACTGTGCAGAGGGAACTATGTGTAACATATACATTCTCACCTTGCGATATTTGTGCTCAGCGGCCATGCGTCTGTGTACCTAACTCCTGCAACACGTTGATGGATGCCGGCCACTACGTATCCATGCCAAATTATAGCCCCATATCTGCCTACGTTGATGACGATGTCGGCGTGCATGTGACGCACATTTTTGGGTCATAGGCCGATTTCAGCCAAGCAAATTTGTAAAGGGCTATTTAAACACCAATTTACTTTTCCACATTGCCCTGTCATGGTTTCCCTTAGGGGTTGTCCGAGAGTGTGTTCCTGAATGTTTATTTCTGATATTTGACTTTGGCTTTGTTTGACTTCCATGTATTCTGGTATCCCTGACTTTTTGGCTTTCCCTTATCATTGTGTCCCATTCTGTGTCCCCGACCTCGGCAAGTATCCTGACTATTTTTTGGTGCGTTAAGTCCGGCCATTCTAAGACCCGGTAAGACGTTACCTTTTAGTCCTAGGTGTGATACAATTCTAAGTGCTGGATCAATTAGTAATCCTGACACAGTGCACTTCTAACTCTCTGTCTGAAGTGAGGAGCGGTACCTGGCTGACTACAGGCAAGAAGTCAAACTATTCACAAATGGCTTGACTGCTTAAAATGGGAGGGGTGAGGTTGCCAGGGCATTTCTAGCACTATAGTCACTAAAGCAACCTATAGTGGTTAAGGTGCTTGGAGTGTTCCTTTACATTAATTTTGTATTCTAGACCAGTGTTCTCCAACACAGTCCTCATTGACCACCAACAGTCCAGGTTTTGTCAGTATCTCCATTGGAATAATACATGGAAATATATAAAGCCTGGACTGTTGGTGGTTCACGAGGACTGGGTTGGAGAACACTATTCTAGACAAATCACACTTTGGTGGATGACTAAATAAATGTTTTTTGTGTGCTCTACTGATTATTGTTGATGTGGGATTTAACCTCTGCAAAATATATTCCTTATGTTTTATATTACCCATGCTCGAACTGTCACCAATACAAAGAATTGGGGAGTCAAAAATAAGCAGAGGAAGGTTTATACCCTAAACAGAGAATGGAGGTGAAATGAAAACTGATTTACAAAATGAAGCTAAAATAGCCAAAAGTTTTTCCAAAAATAGCTGATTGGATACATTTTACAAATCAGCTATTTTGGCCTGATTTCTGCAATTACTTACAGTCACTTTATAGTAAATAAATCCTTTTAAATTCTAACTCAATATATATATATATATATATATATATATATATGTATTAAGGCAGTTTTGCCTGTATTTGTGGGAGGGGCTTAAATTAATTCACTCCCCTATATAAGGGACACCCCTTACCTGACTCATATCGCTTGAGGTCAGCATCAGAATGATTTCCACTTCCGGGTCATCCAGACGCCATTTTACCTGATTACTCCATGAGGTTTTCTAAGCAGAGCTGTGTCAGGAATCCAGCCACAGGCTTTTCCGGCCTACCACCTTCTTTCTTCAATCCATCGCCGTGGATGGTGTCCAAGTGACTCACAAACAGTAAGTCGACCTACCCGTTACGCCAGGCATCAGTCCCACGGCACCATGCACGGGTCAGGTCCTCACTTTACGGCTGCATTTTGTCTATGTCTGTTCTAAAACCATTGCATGTTCATGCATATCATTCGTTTAAACCCCCTACCGGTCTTTGGGTGTACTACAGGCTTCTTAGACATTATGGCATTTCATGTACAAACCAACGAACCACTGCATTTTCGCCTACACACTGACCCTACCGGTCTTTGGGTGTACTACAGGCTTCTTAGACATTATTGCATTTCATGTACAAACCAACGAACCACTGCATTTTCGCCTACACACTGACCCCTACCGGTCATTCGGTGTACTACCGGCTTCTCAGACATTATTGCATTTCATGTAAAAACCAACCAAACACCGCATTTTCACCTACACACTGACCCCTATCGGTCATTCGGTGTACTACAGGCATCTTAGACGTTTTTTGCATTTTCAGGTACAAACCAATAAACCACCTCATTTTCACCTACACACTGACCCCTACCGGTTTTTGGTGTACTACAGGCTTCTTAGACATTATCGCATTTCATGTACAAATAAACGAATCACTGCATTTGCACCTACACACTGACCCCTACTGGTCATTTGGTGTACTACAGGCTTCTCAGACATTATTGCATTTCATGTACAAATCAACGAACCACTGCATTTGCGCCTACACACTGACCCCTACCAGTCATTCGGTGTACTAAGGGCTTCTCAGACATTATTGCATTTCATGTATAAACCAACAAACCACTGCAATTTTCACCTACACACTGACCCCTATCAGTCATTCGGTGTACTACAGGCTTCTTAGACGTTTTTGCTTTTCATGTACAAAACCATAAACCACTGCATTTTCACCTACACACTGACCCCTACAGGTCATTCAGTGTACTACAGGCTTCTCAGACATTATTGCATCTCATGTACAAACCAACTAACCACGGCATTTTCGCCTACATGCTGACCCCTACCGGTCAATCGGTATACTACAGGCTTCTCAGATTTTATTCCACTTCATAAGCAAACAAACGAACTACAGCATTTTCGCTTTTCTACTGACTCCTATCTGTCAAATGGTAGCATTAACCCCTTAAGGACACATGACATGTGTGACGTGTAATGATCCCCTTTTATTCCAGAAGTTTGGTCCTTAAGGGGTTAAAGGGTATTTTAACATACAATCAGCATTTCTGACCCCTACTGGTCAACAGCAAAACTGTCTTCACATGTCATATACAATTTACCAGCCAATATAAATTACACATAAGATTGTTTTAAACATAACTATAGACCATAAATTAAACTCCAGCACGGGCTCAACTTCAGGTTTAATTCACAATAATTTACATTTCACATCAAGACCAACAGTGGTTCTATCAACACTGCCACCTACAGGTCTGTCAAGTACATTGACAATTTTCATGGGGTTTTACAAACACCAAAACACTGACACCTATAGGTCAACAGACAAACAACATTTCCCATACCAATCAGTATCCAACTACACTGCCATCTATAGGGCGCTCGGCAGATCTCCAGTGCACTTGCATTTTGCAACACCATGTTCACTGACCCCTACCATTCAATAAGACATACAACAATTCACATAGCAAGCACTATGTCAACATCTGGTATAAATACATATATTATTACACAGTAGCAGACGCATCTGTATATATGTAACTGGTAATATAGTTCACATACATTTTTCACAGCACGCTGCTCCCGCAACAGACTTCCCCTAGCAAGGGGACATACAACATACAAGGTGGGGACAGACCACATTTTCACTTGTACATACGGCACTTAATGGGTTAAGATTGATACATATTTAACCAGTATGGCTACGATGTTTAATATTTACACATCATGGCACTTTACTTTTCACATATACTGTACGTATTAAGATAAGCTTGGTCTATGCCATATTTCCTTATGCCATACGGTTTTATCCATTCAGGTTACAGTTACTACTAAAAAACCTATACGGATTGTCAGGTTCAATACCATACTACCAGGTACATACACCTGCTCACGTAGTTATCCATCTCTTACCTTCCCTGGAATAGTAATAGTGTACTGGCAATTAGGGTTCTAGGGCCCAATAGGTATTACCCCCTTTTTTCTCTGCATTATGCTTCGGTTAGTGGTCCCGCGAGGCCAACACCCCGCCTCACACTCGGAGGCATACACCCCTCGGGCCACTCGTGAGCTAGTCGCCTCGCATTGTATCATAGAGAGGACCTCACCTGTCACTCCCCTTCCTATTTTCTGGTTACTGTCACCGAGAGGCCAACATCCTGCCACAACGTTCGGTGGCCACACAAAATCCCCTCGCGCCAAGCATAGATAGAGCCTCTCAAGCCACTTGGCAACTAGCAGGGCCTCACCAGTCACCCAAAAAACACCAAGCCTAATCGTTTCGCCTTACGGCTTAGCTAGCAAGCCAGTACAAGAACCCTGGGTACAAATAATAATTGCAATCTTTATTGTTATTTAAGTATTTCTCAAAAAGATGGTGAAGAATCACCTCTTCCTAGCACCCCGGCTAGAATTGATACACCTTCAAGCAGAGGAGATGTTGCTAGTCCAGCAGCAATCAGATCCTGGACGATCCCACACATTACCACCGACCTAAGGAGGTGACAAATCCCCTACCCTGCTACAGCAAGGAAAGCAGTTATTCAAACTCCTCCATACATCAACGGACAACACGGAGGCAGGGGAAGGCCCAGCTACATCAACACAGGTGACACCCAGGCTATGCTAGCTTCACTCATAAACTCATGAGCCCAAAAAATTTGACAGACTGGCAATCTCGAGTTGGTCACCACAGCCCTCACAAGGCTGGGCCTCAAGCTACTGTACAACCAGCACCAACCGAAACTCGGTTACCTGGTACAATCAATTCTTATGACACACAAGATGTTAAACCTGCACGTATGATCCCAGCACATTGGGGAAGCAAGGCATATATATGTATGATGATGTATCTGTGATGGTCAGATCCAGGGATTCCAGGTAAATCGGGAACTGACCATCCCTTGGTTGGGTTGGCATTTGGAATATGTGGAGATGTTTATTTGTGCAGGTACCCATACAGAAGGGATTTTGTCCCAAACAAATGGACGAGCACTCTCAGGCTCCAGGTACCAGCACCTCTGAACTACCAGAGACCACTGATATGAGTAGTTGCATTGCATACAGACTGTTGCATATATGTTCAAATAGTTCAGGGCACATGACAAACCATGTGTC